TTTTTGCCCCCCCCCCCCCCATTAACCACAAACATCCTAAAAACAAATTTTCCGAATGGATTACTACTGATGTATAGCCACATTTAGCAACTGTATAGTCTCCATAATGGTCTATATTCCCTCTTTGTAGTATTATATAAAGCTTTGCGACTGTATGGTCTATATATAAACCTTCTTGACTGTATGGTCCATAGCCCCTCTTTGCAGTATTATAAAAACTTGTGTGAGTGCATGGTCTCCATAATGGTCTATAGTCCCTATTTGTAGTATAATCTAAACTAGTGGTTCTCAACCTGTGTAACCTCAGGACCCACCTTTGTTCTTGGTCAAGTAGCAACTGCAATGGAACGCACGGCATTAGTGGTACACGCATTCTGGTGAGTTTGGGGTACTATTCAAATAATGGCAACGCAACACACCTCCCACACCAGAATGCACAGTAGGTGTACAGTGTGTTAATCGCACAGGACTGTGTGATTAACGTACTGTGAACGGGCCCTCAAAAACACTGACATACATACAAACAAACAATCTCACACCACTCGCAGAGATTCTCACACACTCCAAAAAATGTTTTTACTTTATAAAAAATGTTTTATGGTCCACACAGTCTCACTACCTTACAGTAACTGGAGTTGATCCTCAGCCTGGGGTCCAGTGTGACTGCTACGCTGTAATGGAGCTCCATGTGCATTGCTTGTACAGCTCCCATGCATGCCCTGTAGAGGTGCTGGGAGCCGGAATGTGATGTCACTCGGTCCAGGCACCTCTACAGGACACATGGGGGAGCTGTAAGCAATACACGTATGGATGGAGCTCCCTCACGGCTATAGCCCCATCCTATCCCACCTTAAGCTGACACTCGGCGCCGGGCAGCAAATTTTGAAAGGCTGTTTGACGTGGGAATGGACAGTCCTGTGCTAGGGGGAGGCAGAGGAGCCTCTCACCTAGAAAAGAGGAAGGCATGCAGCGACCCACTGAACAAGGGGTCGCAACCCAGCAGTTGAGAACCAAGGATCTAAACCTTTGTAACTGTATGGTCTCCATAATAGTTTATAGTCCCTCTTTGTAGTATTATATAAACCTTTGTGACTGTATGGTCCCCACAATGACTTGTAGTGTCAAGGTAAAGTTAGTTGGAGTACAAACGGTCCTAAAAAATTAGCTCAAATCTTGGAGAAATCAAAAGGTTCTTTTTTTTCAGAGCAGCGATTGAAACCTCTTGATTTCTACCTTACCACTGAAACCTTAACACATGATGTATTGGGAAATCACAAAACAGGAACAACACCCATTTAAGGAAATAAAGGGAAGAAAAAAAAAATGCAAGAAAATGTTGTCATGTGACATTACGCAACAAAGGAGAGCCTATGTTGCAACACTAATGTACAGTGACATCAAAGCCAAATAACTCCTGGCATCTCTAAAAGGGATTGTGCTGGATTTCTTCCCCTTTGTTTTATTAGTTCTTCCCCTACGAGTACATAAACCTTTACAATTGTATTCCAGTAATATTTGTAAGCAGAATTAAAGCTTTTCTCTCAGTGATCTTCAAAACAGATGCTTTAATCCAATACTCCTGAACAGAACACCCAGCTGGGGTCAGGTAAAATTTATGCCAGCACGCCAGATCCTCAGCTTTCTCTTTCTGCTTTGTTTAACCAAAGCGCCTTGCTTTATATAACTACATAAACAGAGTAAAAGAATGAGACATTTCAGGGAAAAAGCCCATCTGCTAATAAAGCAGTCAAGTTTATTTTATCCCAGACAAAAAATTCCAATCTCAAGTTGGAATCAAAGATCTTGTAACCCACCGCAAATGCGATCCCTGCGCCAAAACATTATCTGGTCAAGAGACAAGAATGAGTGTGACGTAGACTACTTCCTGGGTCCTATGGCGCAACGAGGTATGAGGTCATGGAACCAGCCTAAAAATAAACAAGGTGCTGGCCCTGAATTATGGTGGTAAATACTGTATTGGAGTTCTGTATGGCAAGCATAAATGATTGGGTAGGCCCCCAGTTTGGAAGGGGGGGGGGGGAAGAGACATTTTCATGTCTGTCATTCATGACATCCCCTCATCGGGCTCATTTAAAACGTTATTAAGCACCCTTCAATGGCCGCAAGGACGATTCCAGCTTTTGCTCTGTTGCTACAAGCAACACTTTTCCAATAAGGATTTCATGACAATACCGTACAACATGCACAGGATGTACAGAAATTCTACAGACAGCACTATAATTACTGGCGCTATATGGTCACCACTATTACATATAGCAGGAGGGAGTGGTGGCAGGGACTGGGATAAAGCTGCTTAGACCTTTCTCCAAGCAAATGACATGGGCAAGGAAAAAGGTGCTGGAATTCGGCTGGAACAATGGGCCAGGTCAGAGTGCTAACCTCATGCTCTTTGCTGGAGAGACAGCACAGACAAGAGAGGCATGCTTTTCTAAATGGAGCCAAGCCTGCTTAGACATTCCAGCAGCACAGCTCAATAACCACTGCATCCCCAGGGCAATGACCCCTGGATACCTAATCCACCACAGAGCACAGCCTCTGGCCAACACAGGGCTAACTTCACACTCACATCTTGGGGCTCCTCTGATCAATGTAAGTGAACATTTAGGTCTCGTTCACACCTAGGCGCATTGCATATGCGCGTCTGTCGCGCGTTTTTTACCGCGATTCGCCGTAAAAAAGTCACGCGATAAACGCGCGTTTCCGAAGGCTACTTGGCTGTATCCCAATGGAAACGCGCAACGAAACGGCCCAAAGTAGTACATGTACCTTTTCAGGCGTGGGCCGTTTTGTAGCGCGTTAGGGACAGGCGGAAATACGGCAAGGTGTGAACCAGACCCATTGAATACAATGGGATTTATATTTTTTAGCGTTTTGTAGAGCGTTCGTCGAGCGTAGAACGCGCTACAAAACGTTCAGGTGTGAACGAGGGCTTAAGTCAACGTAAAAAGGTAAACTTTGTATCAATTGGCTTTATTCTCCATACCCTGAGTAAGAACATCACAGTGAAGGGGCCAGAGGTACAACATACTTATGTTCATCTCCATCTTTTAGACGACCTCCATTCTCCCCTCCACCACCAATATCATCTCAGCTCTACAAATGACACTCCACCTCCCCCCATATCATCACCACCACCACTCTATAGATGCCCCCCCCATATCACCAC